TCCCTCCTCCTCCTCCTCCTCCTCCTCCTCCTCCTCCTCCTCCTCCTCCTCCTCCTCCTCCTCCAACGCCTCCTGCTCCTCCTCCGCCGCCTCCTCCTCCTCTTCCTCCTCCTCCTCCTCATCATCCTTCTCCTCCCCCTCCTCCTCCACAGTTCCTCCTCGTCCTCCACATTTCCTCCTCCACATTTCTTCCTCCTCCTCCTCCTCCTCCTCCTCCTCCTCCTCCTCTTCCTCCCCCTCTCCTCCCTCCTCCATCATCATCATCATCATCATTCATCATCATCATCATCATCATCATCATCATCATCATCATCATCATCATCATCATCATCATCATCATCATCATCATCATCATCATCATCATCATCATCATCATCATCATCATCATCATCATCATCATCATCATCTCATCATCATTCATCATCATCATCATCATCATATCATCATCATCATCATCATCATCATCATCATCATCATCATCGTCATCATCATCATCATCATCATCATCATTCATCATCATCATTCATCATCATCATCAATCATCATCATCATCATCATCAATCATCATCCTCCTCCTCCTCCTCCCCCTCCTCCCCCCTCATCATCATCATCATCATCATCATCATCATCATCATCATCCTCATGCTCATCTCTCCTCATCCTCCTCCCCCTCCTCCCTCATCCCTCCCTCCCGCGTCTCCCCCCCCTCCTCCTCTTTTCCTCCCCCCCCCCCTCCTCCCCCTTCCATCCTCCCCCCCTCTCCCCATCATCCCTCCCCCCCCCCCTCCCCCCCTCCTCCCTCCTCCCTCCTCCCTCCTCCTCGTCCTCGTCCTCGTCCTCGTCCTCGTCCTCGTCCTCGTCCTCGTCCTCGTCCTCGTCCTCGTCCTCCTCCTCCACTTGACTCACAAAGGTAGCTGCGGACAGTGCTGACGCATGCATCATCGATAGATCGGCGATGGCCCTGGCAATAAAGTCTACAAATACATACTACAAGTCTTGAACGGCGGCGGCAGCGGCAAAAGAGAGGACGCGGAGAGGAACATATTAACTAACTCAACGACGACGTCGACGTCGTCGACGACGTCGGCGTCGTCGTCGTCGACGTCGTCGACGACGTCGACGGGTCGCGGGGTGGGTCGCGGAGTGGGTCGCGGGGCGGGTCGCGGGGCGGGTCGCGGGGCGGGTCGCGGCAGGGCGCAGGACGGCGACGACGAATAATAACAACAAGAATCCGCATCGCAGAAGCCCGCGCCAGCCACGCACCCAGGGACAGTGTAAGACCGCTCGGCCCCCTCACTCTGGGCAGCCGTGCGTCGACGCGGATATCCCCGCGCGCGCAGCGCACTTCCTGGTATGTCCCGCCGCGAGTGCCGAAGTCGTTCGCCTGCTACGTCGCGGTGGCCATGGGGACCTGCAGGGTGAGCAGCCGGGGGTGCCGCAACGAGCGTTTTGCTCGAGACGACCCCGCAATTTTGCCGCGACCGGGCAAGTGAAACGCCTTCCGCCCTTTCCCCCTGCCCCCTGGGGCGCGGCGCCCGAGTGCCGCGCTTTGAGTGTATCCGAATGTGGGTGGCCTGAGCGTGGTGAGTCTGAGTGCGTGAGTGAGTGAGTCTCACAGTCGGGGGAGCGTTCGCTCGTGAGTCTGAGCGCGGTTGAGTCTGAGTACGAATGAATTTCGTCCTTCCCGGAAGCGACGACGACGGCCCCTTCTAGCCGTTGCAGGGACCCCCCCGTGCCTCGGTCACCTGCAGGGAGCGGGGGCGACGACGACGGCCCCTTCGAGTCCCTGCAGGGACTTCCCGATGCCTCGAGCACCTGCAGGGATCGGAGGCGACGACGACGGCTCCGGCGAGCCCTTGCAGGGAGTTCCCGGTGCCTCGAACACCTGCAGGGAGCGGACGCGACGACGATGGCCCCTTCGAGTCCCTGCAAGCACCCCCCGGTGCCTCGAGCACCTGCAGGGGGCGGAAGCGACGACGACGGCCCCATAGAGCCCTTCTCGTCGTCGCGGCGGCCCCCCGCCCGCGCCAGAGGCAGCGTTCCCCGCGCCAGAGGCAGCTGGAAGCCATTGCCCGCTTCCGCCAACCTGGATATCCGAAGCTCGCCGCGCTCGCTGCACAAGCGGCACGCTGAGTCGCCATTACTTTTTCTTCTGCTTCTCAGGGGGTAGCAGCTTTCGAAGTCGCTCTCGTAGAATCGTCGCTGCCACGATCTGCAAAAACTGCCCAATGTGTCCCCAGATTCGTTGAAGACGCCGGATCCTGAACGGGCTCTCCACGATCCAGTACCAACGCTCAGCCGCAGGCCGCAGCCTGCGACCACGCCCAACCGGGCCCGCCTCTGACTCAGACTCTCCAGACATCCCGCGCCAGAGGCAGCGGCACCACACGCGCGGTTTGGGGGGGCGCGAACAGCGATCTACTCGCGTCCGAGAGCCGAAACCGCTCTGGATGATGATGATGGTGATGATGATGATGGTGATGACGATGATGGCGATGATGGTCATCGTGATGGCGATGACGATAACGACGGTGAGGATGATGATGTCAGCGACGCCGCAGATCCTTAATATGATGCCCCCCCGTGGTGGACCAGTCAGCAAATCAAATTCACAGCGGAAAACTGCGCCTCCGAAGGTCGTGCCTCCGCGCAAGACCTCCCTCCCCGCGCGTGACGTTCAGGGCGGCGACGCAGTCGTTCACGCGGCGCCCCGCAGCAGCCTTGCGACCGCTTCTCTAGGCAGCTCGACGAGGCATGCACCTCCTAGACGGAGGCAGCAGCACCGAAGGAAGAGGAAGAACATCCCTGGGCACCACTGCCTCCAGCGGCCCGATGGTGCCAGCTGGGGCCGGCCAAGCCCCGGCCTCGTCCAGCATCGTGACTTCTTCGGAGGAGCCCGCGACAAGGCGCGCTCCTCCGCCGCCTTTCGCCCCTCCTTCAAGATGGCCGAATCGCGGGCCGCTGGCTCGGCCACCCACGGCAGCAGCTCTGGGCTCACGATCGCCCCTCCCGTGCGCCGCGTGCACCACAAGTAATAGTCCCGCGCGTCAAAGTCCTTCCCCGGCTCCTTTCTCTTCCTGACCTTGTGCTCGATGAACTGCACGTGCCTGGCGAGCGCCTCCAGGGGCGCTAGGTTGGCCACGCGCACTTGGTCGCAGGTGCAAGCCAGCTCGAAGATCTCCGACAACATCTCGCAAGCCACCACCGTGTCCTCGCCATCATTCAGCTTGTCCTCATGCTTCCAGGTGGTGCGCCGCTGCACTGGGCCGCCGCTCGTCCTGGCAATCTCCCCCACAACATGCAGCGGGGCACGCGGCCCTGACAGCGCCCCGTCCTCGAACTCGCCGAGGCAAGCACTCTCCGCGACGCCCCTCGTGGTCCTGAACCTCCTCCCCGCCGAGTCCCTCAGGATGGACAGAGTCCGCGAAATCCACCCTCCCTCTCAGAAATCGTGGGGGGGTAGGGGTAGGGTTCGCATGTGGCCCCCTAGTAGATGCCGTAGTTCCCGATGGTCATGAAGACCTCCGAAGGCGTGCCCAACCGATCTGGCAAAGAGAAGACCGCCCCCAGCATCTCCGCTGCCGACTCCACCACGCAGCACCAGTCCACACGCCTCGCACGTGCCAGACCCTCCTCGGGCGCATCGGCCGGCGGCGACAGAGGCGGCCTGGCCGCCGGCTCGACCTCGGGCCCCGGCTCGATCGCCGCCAGGCCGAGGTCCTCGCGCAGCTGCGCCGCCAGTTCCTCCGCCTCCTTCGTCAGAACCGCGATCTCACCGCCCACAACGCGATTGGCGAAGCGGTACACCGGCTGCCCGCGCCCCGCCCCCAGCCCCGGCGGTAACTCGCCGCGAAGCGCGGCCTGCTTAAAGTCCGCCACGTGCTCGGTGTCGTAGGTCTCTTCGTAAAACGTCGCCGACACCACTGCAAGCACCAGCCTCTCATGCCAGGGCCCCCCCTCCTCGCCGTAGTCGACGAAGAGCGTGTCCCAGGCCTGCAGGTGGAGCGCCCGGCGCACGACCCTCCGTTTCGGCGCCATGGCCCTGCAGCGAGGCAGCACCTCCTTGCCAGTGGCCTTCGCCTCGAAGCCCCAAATGAGCATACGAATCGAGATCACGCACCCGCACACAGTGGCCTGTGCTGCCAGCAACGCCGCCGCCCCGAGCATGAAACTGGTGGCCGACGCGACCACCAGAGAGCCCAGCGGCACAGGGGCACACCACACGTGCGTCTGCGAGAGACACGCGTTGGCAGTGGTAGATATTGCCAGTGCGCACGGCGAGACACTAGAATCGAAGAATTCAGTGGCCGGGGGGGCGGGCGCGGCCTTCGGGAACTAGGAACTCCAGCCGAAGTCTCCCATCCGCCGCCAGAAGAACGACCGCTTGAGCCGCGACAGTAGCGGCCAGGCGAAGACAAATGAGCATTGCACGCTTCGCTTCATTGACTACACTCTGTCCCGTCCGTTCCGCGACGCTGCCACTGGGAGAGGAGGAGGAGGAGGAGGAGGAGGAGGAGGAGAAGGAGGAGGAGGAGGACGACGAGGACGAGAAGTAGAGCAGCATGAGAAGGAGGACGAGGAGACAGAGGAGGAAAAGGGGGCAAGGAAGGAAGCAGGAGATGGAGAGATGGGAGGATAAGAGGAGGGAAGGAAGAGAAGGAGGAAGACGGGAAGGAAGGAGCAGGAGGAGGAGAGGACGGAGGGGGGAGGGGGAACAGGAGGGGAAAATGCAGGCGGTCGTCTCCTCCTCCCCTCCCTCAATGTGCATCCGCCGCCCCCTCGCCTCGCCGCCACTACCATTCAACACCCCAGAATTTCTCCCTGAGCGCGTTCGGGCCAAAACCTCAAGGCGGACACAGCAAAACCGGTTCAACTAAAGCAAAACAAGAAGAATAATAAGAAGAATAATAAAAAGGAAGCACAACAAAAAACAAAAATAAAAAACAACAACAAAACAAACTCTATCCTCGATCCCTCCAGGGGGGAGGCAGGGCGGCGTCGTTGAGACCGTGGTACACCTCGGTCACCGCCTTCTCCGCTCCAGCAAAAGTCTTCTTTATGCTGGCCACCTGCGCCCGCCCGGGCCCCAGGCGGGAGGAGAGATGAGGAGGGGAATGATGACAATGGGTTGGGGGAGAGAAGAGGGAGGAGGGAGGGGGAGGGAGGAGGAGGGAGGAGGGGGAGAGAGGAGGGAGGAGGAGGAGGAGGGGAATGATGAAAAGGGGTTGGGGGAGAGAGGAGGGAGGAGGGAGGGGGAGGGGGAGGAGGATTTTTCACACCCGTGCGAAGCAAGCGACTCTGGGCGGACGTGGCCAGCACGAGCACCACGAAGACCACAAGGAAGACCGAGAGCACCTTGCGGTGCAAAAACATTGCATACAGCCCTCGTCAACGCCATACACGAATAAAGCAATCCCAAGGCCCACCTCTAACCGCGAAAAAACACAACAATCGCGCCACGACGAGTTTGACGCAGTGGTAGCACGAAGCCAGCACAAGCATGAAGTAACACGGTGGGGCATACGACCAACAAAAAACAGCCAAATGCCACCGAGTACGACCGATGCATACAGCTGCGCAGCACCACATTGCAACCGTTGACAAAGCGTCACCGCCAACACTGGAAATGCATACGAGCCAGAAGTGTAAAATACCTTGCGGGGATGAGGACACGAAAGTATACCAACGCAACAGAAAAATGCGACAACACACAACACATCTCGCACATTGTAAAGAAGAAGCTAAAGCGTAAAAAACCTCGTCATCGCCCTGGCCACCTGTACTACAAGTCTCCCGCGGGGAATCCCAGAAGCACCACGGCAAAGCCGCATGCCAAGCTGCCCGCGAAGACGGGGATGGACACGCACTCACCACGTAGCATACCCTGGCGTTTGCCGATGAGGAACAACTCGAAGAAGAAGAAGCCCAAACACCAGCGCTCAAGTCAGCACGGTGCAGCACAGGGGCATCTCGACGCAGGCAGCTAGCACGCTTGAACCAAAGCTAGCCTGAGCCGAGATCGAAATTGAGGAGGGGGAGAGGGGAAGCGAATGGGAAAAAGGAGAAGAATTTCGACGAGCGCCCTGCGCCCTGCCAACCAGCAACCACAGATTTTCTGATGGGACTTGCTCCTCCCAAGTCCCTGTCATTGGGAAGGAGCCCACGCACGACCCTCGACCAGCACTCCTTGGCCTTACCTTGAGGACGCGCGCCCTCGCCACAGAGCTTCTTGAAATGGCCGAGAGACGAACAAAAACACAACGCATGCAAGTATTTCGAATAAAATAATCGATAGAGCACTCCGGGGCAAGACATGAGCGCCCACAATCAGAAATTGAGCGAGTCACTGGAGGGTGGTCTTATCACAAATAATTCCGCTCCTCGAATCTCCTGCGCACGGGACGCGCCATCCTCGAGCGGGCACGCAGACACTCAACTTTTCCATAGTTTGTCTGAAACTTTAGGGTATCCATACCTAGTCATGATACGGGAGAATCAAACAATCATGGCTATAGGGCTAGGGGGCTATAGGGCTATAGGGCTATTGAGCTATAGGGCTATAGAGCTATAGGGCTATAGAATTGTAGACTATAGGGCTACTGGGCTATTGGGCGATTGGGCATCGGAGGTGAGGGGGTGAGATCGAAGTGGAACGGAGAGCCCCCCTACCGGGAACTCGGTTTCGGTTTCGTGTTCGTGCGTGCCGTGCGGGCGAGGCGAAGCTGCGTGGGCGGGCGAGAAGAAGTCTCCTGTGGCTGAGGCGCGGCCGGACCAAATGACTCCCTTCCGGGCGGCCGGTGGCCCGCGGTGTCCAGCCAGTGTCCCGCTGGTGTCCCGTGTGGCTGAGGCGCGGCCGGACCAAATGACTCCCTTCCAGGCGGCCGGTGGCCCGCGGTGTCCCGCCGGTGTCCCGCGGTGTCCAGCGGTGTCCCGCGGTGTCCCGCGGTGTCCCGCGGTGTCCCGCCGGTGTCCCGCGGTGTCCCGCGAGGATGATGATGAGATGATGATGATGATGATGATGATGATGATGATGATGATGACGATGATGATGATGATGATGATGATGGTGTTCCGATGAAGATGATGATGATGTTGATGGTGTCGATGATGATGATAGTGTCCCGATGATGAGGATGATGATGCTCATGATGATTATGTTGATGATGATGACGATGATGGTGTCCCGATCATGATGATGCTGATTCCGATGATGTTGGTGATGATGATGTTAAGGGAAATGGTGTCCCGGCGATAATGATGTTGATGATGATGATGTTGATGATGATTATGGTGTCCCGATGATGATGCTGATGATGATGGTGATGATGATGATGGTGATGTTGATGGTGTCCCGATGGTGATAATAATGATAATGGCGATGTCGATGATGATGTTGCTCATGATGATGATGGTGCCCCAATGATGACGATGTTGTTGATGATGATGATGTCGATGATGATGATGCGATGATCATGATGATGATGGTGTCCCGAGGATGATGACGATGTTGATGATAATGTTGATGATGAGAACGATGGTGATCATGATGGTGTCCCGATTATGATGATGATTATGATGATGTTGGTGATGATGATGACGATGACTGTGTCCCGATGATAATGATGCTGATGATGTTGATGATGATATGATGATGGTGATGATGATGATGTTGTCCCGATGATGATGCTGACGTTGATGATGATGTTTATGATGATGATGACGGTGCCCTCATGATGATGACGATGTTGGTGATGATGTTGATGTTGATGATGTTGTTGTTGATGATGATGATGACGTTGATTGTGAGAGCGATTGTGATATCGATAGTGAGATCGATATTGAGACCGAATGTGAGATCGATTGTGTGATCGATTGTGAGATCGATTGTGAGATCAATTGTGAGATCGATCGAATGAGATAGATCGAGTGAGATCGATTGCGAGATCGATCTCACTCGAGCGAGACCGATAGTGAGATCGATACTGAGATCGATAGTGAGACCGATCGAGTGAGACGTTGGTTCCCTCCCCCCCCGAACCTCCTTATCACCCGAAGGGTGGTCGTATAGGTAGGGCTATAGTGCTTAGTGCTATAGGGCTATAGGGCACCCCTGGGCACCCCCGGGCACCCCCGGGCACGCCCGGGCACCCGGGCACCCAGGCACCCGGGCACCCCCTGGCACCCCCCGGGCACCCCGTGGGCACCCGGGCCCCGGGCACCCCCAGGCACCCAGGCACCCGGGCGTGCAGCGAAAATCGGCGACAAACCGAACCTAACCATGTGAATCCGCTAGGACCCCTACAGAAGCAAGCTCTGATTGGGGAATGTTTTATCGCGGATTCTGCGCAAAACGCTCCGCACCCCGTTTGCTTAACAAGGGAAAACGTGTGTCTGCGGACCCCACATTTATCAAGGATCCGAGATAGGGGGCACACTTTCCTCGAGCGGGCACGCGCGAAACGCAATTTTTAAAAACTGGAACAGACCTTACCTCGTTTTTGCATCGAGCGGACATTCGCCGGCCCGGTTCAAGTCGAAACCAGAGTTAAAACTACTCAAAGAAAAACCCTGGGCCTCTGCCACATCCTGGAAAAAAACAAAATCATTTGGGAGATCTGCTCCAGCAGGCTGCCCAACGGGAAAACCAAAAAAAACATAATAACCGGTGTTCGGGTTGTCTCGGGTTGGGCGGCGCGGAAGTTGACAAAATATGTTAAAAACTCATCATATGTCATTTCTGCGTTTTTGCTGGTTATTCTGCTCTTTACCTGGCCAAGGGAAAGGTGCGGACGCTGATTATGTTTTTCTGGTTTGTTTGGTTGAACGGCGCTGAACCAAAATGACAACAAACAACATAATTGGAGAATTTGCTCTGGAACCCACGGTGAAGCCAGAAACACTGGACAAAAACAAAGAACATTGAATATGTTTTTTTGGTTTTGGGGTTTTTCTGTTTACTCAAGTTTTCACTGCGTTCCCAGAACATTGTAGCAGGCGGGAAGCAGAGACTCGTCATATAAAAAAATCGTTTGCTTCAATCATGTGCATATGTATACCGACATATACATATATATATATATACATATGTATATATACATACATATACACAGACATATACATATACATATACAAGCACATATACATCTACATATACATACACGTATGCATATGCATATACAAACATATACATAAACATATACATAAACATAGACATACATATATACATGAACATATACATATACATATACATCATCGCTTCGGGCGAACCCCACCGAATTCACCAGCGACGCTTTCGGCCATCCTTCTCCTTGCCGAAGGGAGGTGGAGAAACAAACAAACAGGAACAACGGCGTGACGTCGCGACGCCTGTCTCGTTTGATACGTCATCGGGGAAATCGTTACCATTATGCGCATGTATATCATGCCATACGTTACGCTTCGACCTAAGATATGATGCAATGCTGCGTTGTGTCATGCGTTATTATGTGATGGAGTGTCATGTTACGGTATGTATGTTCTGATACGTTGAAGTGGAATACCATCTGATACGTTGTGTTAAATTTGGTAAATATATCATATCCTGTTGTGGTACTGTCTAATATTATGATGTGCTATGTGACGCTGAGGTGTGCCATGGTATGTTATGGTAAGGCTTTATGCTATGTTATGGTATGCTGGCTTACACTGTGTATTGCCGTGCTTTGCCGTGATACAGTGTGAAGTGATATGGACTGAGATGTGTTGAAATAACGCGGTGATGTGCCATGTCCGCCATGGTTTCACCTGGTTTGGTATGGTACGGTACTTGCTACTCACGCTGTGTTGCGACTTGGTGTGGCACGCGCTCTTATGTATGCTCAGATCTGCCACCGCGTAGGTTATGCCACCCGTGCTATGTTATGTCACCCGTATTATGCTGTGTTATGTCACCCGTGTTAACGCATGCTGTGTTATGCCACCATATTATGTTATCGTGTGAGATGGTTTGCGTTGTTCTATGTTATGCCGCACTCTGTCATGGTATGGACTGTTATGCTATGGAACGGTCTGCGAACGAACGCCTTGGTGC